ACTTTTTTATTCTAAATTTATTTATTCTCATTTATTTATTTTTGTGACAAATATTATGACATAAAAATATTTTACCGACTCAATTATTTATAACAAATCGAATTGGATTGTTATTGGATCGGATTGATCTATATCCATATTTGATCCATTTAGTTAACAGATTATCGGATTCGGATCTTGATTGGGTTATCGGACTGAGACCCTAAATCCATCTCCCATTAATTTCGTTGGATTCGGATCGGATTCGGATCAAAATCAAATCCATTGACAGCCCTAAGTACCATTGTGCATGGGCAAATTTATATGGGATTTTTTATTTTTACTTAATTAAAGGTGGTATTCAAATGAGGGTATATTAAACATATATTTGCATAATTGTAGTAAATGTCCTTACTTCTTACTTATCGTTATATATATGATTTGTAAACTTCCTCATTTAATTTTTAGTAAATTAGTTTTTTTACGTCCTCATAAAATTTTGTTACGGAAATAATAATAATATAATTAAATATGTAAGGGTAAAAATAGGTATTCAAATTTCAATCCAATTCACTTTTATTTTCGCATAAACGAAAGATTTAGAGAAAATTAAGTACCTTCATTCCTTCTTAACAGTAACATTAAAGGATATATAATAGGAAAATAAGTATGGATTAACATTTATTTTTGCATAGTAGACAGTAGATGAACTACTTTTCTAGCGTTATTTTCTTATCCAAGTGATGGCTTCGGACTTCCTCTATTTTCTTTCCTCCATTGACGGTTTTGTGTACTTCTTGCACCACATTTTGCTTCTGAGCCCTATCGCTTTGACCTTCCTTGTCCATCTTCACCAAAAACCTTGTATTCCTTATCTTCAATTAGCACCAAATTTCTGTAGTATCCACTTTTCTCTTTCTTCTGGCAAAAACATTATTATTAGAAGAGAAATATATGTTGGAGGTTATATATTAATAGAAGTTGGGAAAATTAGTAAGGCTTGGTTAACTACTGTTAAAACTTCTTTTGCATATTCGACAACACTACAACCAGCTAAGCTCTCTGCAGCATCAATTAAATGATTACGGCTTCAGTGTAGTCATCAAAGACAATAAGCTTTAAAAGGTATCTTTGTATGTATGACACATCCTCGATATTGCATTGACGACATAAAGCAGTAGATTTATCTCCAATTGGATAGAACATTGCATTGCACGAATTACAACTCTCAAACCACGGGCTATTCTTGTTTTACACTTTCTTAATTTTTCCTATAAATGAGCAAAATGACTCTTCAACATTTCCAACAACTATGTCGTTTAGTGATACTATTTGTGCTTCTTTCATTCATCTAGATGGCAACAGAAGTGCTTCGTCAATTGCATTTTCACTTGTTACACTTGAAATCCTATTCGTAAATAAATGCAAGTTATTACTAGAATAACCATTTAAATAAAGATGTAAAGGTAAGAAAAAACATTTATATAAAGCTAAGTAATCCATACATTTCCCTTATCCATATTCGGATTTGTCAATATGTAACTAATCTTTGTCGTGGACAAAGTGGCCTCATCTGCAGAAAAAGGTTTGGATTATATTATTCCAATTAAATCATAATTTCTATACAATTCAATGATTTTAAGGAGACCTTCATCGATGCTTGCTTTAACACCGAATTCAACAATTATTGTAATGCTTTTAACGTTGTCCTCAAGGTTTTGTCCTTCGTTCTCAGCCAAGTCACCCCACAAAGATAGTTTTATTGTTTCAAGGCTGCAAAATTAAAAATAGGCATATTTATTTATACTTCTAAAGTCAACAAATATATATATATTTAAATTTACCCGTCGTTGATGAGTATGATTTCACTTTTTTAGCCACGGAATGTTCCTCATTTTTTATAAACGTGAATAAACGTAGCAAAGTCTGAGAAAAATGACTTAGTTGGTTTAAAATTTAAATGTAGAATGCACAATAATCGTGAATAAGGATATGGTACCTAGCAATTTCCCTTCGTGTACAAAGTCTAAGATTTTTTAAAATTCCACATAACATAAAGTTGACATGTTATAAGGAATGAAGTCTTAAATTTCCTCTATCTCAGTCTTCATTGTGAGAGTGAGTTCAATTTCATCATTCACATTTGAGTATTGGGGGTTTATTGCTCTTATTTTTCCATTGGAAGTCGGTATGTTTTTTCTTTCTCAAGCATAGGAAATAATTTTTCTATTGTGTCCTTAAACAACGTAGCTTAAATTTTACTAACCTGAAAATATTATTAAAAAAAACTAATAGTCTAAAGTGAAAATTCTATAAGAAACATTATTCTAATATAATACAATACCTCCTCATCACACAAAATTAGTTTTAAAACTTCTATAGGGCCATTTTTGTTGCTGTAGATCTCAATGGAACCTTTTCGGAGTACGGATACTTTTATAATCAACTCTTCTTCAAAGATAGTTAGTTGTTTTATAAAAATATGATCGCAACTTTTGTTTTGTGACATCAATCCTACAAATATGAAAACAAATTTAAGATATGGCAACAGAAATATATATTAACAATTAAAAAAAGGAAAAAGTTAATATTTTTCAAATTAAATTGATAACCTGACTTATTTTGTTGACCTATTGATGAATCAAATCTCATTTCTGTTAGTGATTTTGATGATGATGTATTCATCTGTGATATTGCTACCATTCAAATTTTAAAAGTTAGTGATACAATTAAATCCATAATATTAGAAATCAATTTGAAATGCAAATCAAGATAAATGATAACCCAAAAAAAGGGGGGAGGGGGAACAAAAAAAAGAGGACAAACTTCACAATGATCATCAACTTAGAAATAGATTTTGAGAAACTCTAGCATAAGAAAAATTGCTTTTATTAACAATAGTTCTTAACCTTTTATGCTGATGATTTTTACTTGTAAATTTTGAGCATAGAATAGAATGAGCAAGGTTGGTTTTATAGATATAATGGAATGGGGATAGAATGAGAAAGGTTGGTTTTGTTAGCTATAATGGTCATAAAAACTTTCATATTAAATCCTTATTTGGCCAATTTTTTAAAAATATTTAACTAAATATACTATGTTATCTAATTACCAAAGTTAAATAAATAATATTACTTTGTTAATCAAAATATGTATGTTGACCCCAAAAAATGTTGCCAACAGATGTTGGGCCCACTCGTGCACGTGGAAGCCTCGTCCAACACGTGTGTGCTGATGAACGGTCAGGAAGGCTCCAAATCTGGACGTGGGAGGAGCTCACTACACGAGACGTTAACGTTCGGGTCTCCGGCAAGATACATATAGAACACGATTGTATAAGAAACCAATCGATAAAGAACGATTTATAGTAGAAAAATACTGTAGAAGTTACTGTTGAACGAGAGATATTGCTCCAAATATTTAGTTTTTCCTTCAAAATTTTGCATTAGTCCCTTCAGAAATTTATAATAAGTATTTTTAATATGCTGTATGACTTATAATTTATAATAAAAGAAAATGAGAAGTGATTGATACATGGCCAAGCAGTGCAGTAGTCAGATTTAAAGTTTGAATACCAAAAGACATATTTCGTAGGAATCCAAGAGGCATTGAATTGGGTATAAGAAAACCCATCAATTACTTTCAATTTACTGGTGCTACCATTTGAAAAGTGATTGATAAATTCTATTTTTTTCAGTGCATTGGTGGTACGATTTGAAACAATGGTATTGATGGAACATGCTGGAGAAATAACTCTTCAATTTTTCTTCAAAACTTGAGTTTCATTATAATGAGTTATTTAAAATATAAATGAGTTTTATTTTCATTATGTAAACATATTCAAAATTTATTTTGTAGGAAAATCGACCATATGTTAAAAGCGTTGCAGAGAAATTATCAAAAAAAAATTGGAAGATTCAACTTTTGGTAGATCCAGAGAAACTGAAGGAGAAAAAAATATAGGCATTTTAATGTCCTCTCTGTTGAAGAAGTGCAAGATGAGGAAAATGTTGGATTGTCATCTTTGAATCAAAATTATCTCAAACACATTTCATGAAACTATTGAGCTATGTTTATTTATATGACCATTCCATAGATTCCATTAATGATCTTTTTTTAATATATCACAACGTGTAATTATTTATCAATTAAATAAACATTACATCATTAGTTATTTAATTACCCAAAACAATTACATCTTTATTAATAAGAGATTTATTCTTAACCAAATAAATTAAATATGAACTAAGCAAACGTGCATTGCACGTTACTTACACCTAGTAAATAAATAAAATCTGTGTGGAATGCACGTGAATCGTGACTTTTGAATGGATTCGTTCAATCCAATTTCGCAAAGACGGGGACTTATAGATCAGAAAAATATGAATAGGGACTCAATTGCTTTATTGTGTAAAGAACGGGACTTCATCAGAGATTTCCTAAATAATTATCAGTGGCCTATTTTGGTACCCAAATTCCCCCTTCTAAAATCTGAAGCAACTGAAAAAACTTCGATCTATTTCACACATATTGACGAACAAAAATTCTCTCTGCAAATCAGTTCGTATCAATCAATGGCTACCTTCCTCAGTCGCGTACTTTTCTCTCTCTCTCTCTCTCTCTCTATAATCTGTATTTTCTGCATCTAATTTTTCATTTCTGTATTCAGCATTCATAGTTTTTACGGGATCTGACATTTTCTCGAGTTTCAATTCCCGATTACTTAAAGATCTGAATTGTCTCAAGCTATACACCTCGATCTGTTTATGAGTTTTTCTATTTTATGAAGAATAATGGGCTTTTATTAAAATCCATGTCCATGATTGGAATCTCATTACGGCACTTGAAATTATTCTATGTGATTTGCATTGAGAAAGGATCTTTGTTGATTAGTTTGATTGGTGTTTATAATCCATGGTTGATTGAGTTATGTAGGTATATGAATATCACAAGCTATTGATTTGGCTCATTATTCGAAGAGAAGTGTTATGTATGTGCGCGTGTAAAATTTATCGGAATCTCATTGTGGCATTGTAGATTATGATATCTGATTTAAATTGAGAAGGAATTCTGGTCGATTAGTTCTGATGGCTGTTGATAACTTATAGTTGATTTAATTATGTTGTGTAGGAGGTTTGCCCAACTATAAAGAACATACTTTTGTTGGATTCCGAAGGAAAGAGAGTTGCAGTGAAGTACTATTCTGATGACTGGCCAACAAACAGTGCGAAGCTAGCATTTGAGAAGTCAGTCTTTACCAAAACTCAAAAGACAAATGCTCGAACTGAAGGTATATATGATGCTCAGCTCATTGTTATTTTGTCTTTATAGTTTAAAGTATCATGATTTGAATGTGTAGGAAGTATTATTTGGTGGTACTGGACAGGATCCACGATCTTCTCAGTCGAATTACCCATAGCCCCACGATAATCACGATTCGTGCACATCACTTTCTAATGTCCACGGTATATGGAATTGCATGTGTCCATTGGAATCTGAAATGTTGCTATTAACAATACCGATTCATAAGAATAACACATATTTAGGCTGGTAAGTTCTGTGTGGACTAGTTGTAGGTAAGTCCAGATCACTAACAAGGACAAATAGCCTTTTAATAACCCTTGTAATTGGAACACACCACAAAGTGAGTGAGAAATCTTTTTCACTCATCTTGTGATTCACTAAGATCACATTCAATAAGTGTGGAATAAAGTTGCACTTCTCTACTAGTTGTGTTCAGAGTAATGTTTTGACATTGACGTGTTGAGTGCAGCTGAGATAACAATGCTGGAGAACAACATTATTGTCTATAGGTTTGTTCAAGACTTGCACTTCTTCGTGACTGGGGGTGATGATGAAAATGAACTGATCCTAGCTACTGTGCTACAGGGCTTCTTTGATGCAGTTACCCTTATCCTCAGGTATTGTAGCTTACTACTTTGGGATATGGATGCAGTCATGCATTAAATTATTCTCTGACTTAGAGATTGTTATTTAATGAAGAGCGTTCATGTCTTAGGAACAATGTTGAACAAAGGGAGGCACTTGAGAACTTGGATTTGATTCTTTTATGTCTTGATGAGATTGTTGATGGAGGGTATGTTATGCATTTTATCTATTCAGATTGATTTCGTTTTTTATGGCTTCTGATCCCCGATCAACACTAGATTAGCTTTGCAACAATGACCTGTAGTCACCCTCTCACCCACTCACTCATGAATAAAAGTAATGCTTCACATTCATTGACTGCTAAAGTAATTTGTCATTTGAAAATTGTAATTTGTGTGCATATGATCAACTGGCTTGGCAGAAATAGTGGCGCTGATATGCTAGAGTGACAAACATAATACTAAATTTGAAAGTACGGTCATATTATGTTTGCTATACTGATGTCATGTCCATTTCAGCAAATTTTTTATGCTGCACTTATAGTCTATTTGTATTGTGTGGCGAAGCATTTTGTTTTATCTTTCATCTGTAATCATTTAAGAAGAGTTTCTTTTTTTCCCTTAATCCTCATTCCTCAGCCAGCAAATTTTGATTGTCTTGCGTGGTACTTTTTCCTGTTTGCCTCTACTGAATCTGGAAGAGTGCTTCTTAAGATCTATTCTACAGTGATTAAATTATACTTGATTATGATATTCATATATATGTTAATATTAAAGGAAAGCTTCTGATCAGTGGTATAATAGATTACTTTCTCCTCTTTGATGAGGTGATATGTAGCTCTAGACAATTCAACCTTTTGCATTTGCTTTACAGTTGCTCATTACACTTGTACAATAATTATGGTATGGAGTTCATGAATTTTGGTCTACATCTAGTAAATATCAGTCCATTATCAATCTTCCTTACCTTATTTTTGTTTTTACCTTTTGTGCTTCTTTACTTTTACTGAAGAATTATGGTATGGACTCTGGCATCTATTTTTTTGAACTTCCGTTCTCATGTATTTTCTACCTCATCCAAGAAGATAACATTTACGTATTTTATTTTTTCTGGTAGGATGATTCTTGAAACTGATGGTAGCATAATCGCTGGAAAAGCTGCCACCAGTAGTAACATGGATGATGGGGCTTCATTGTCTGAGCAGGTAAATGTAAAATGGCTATATGCATTTTTTCCATTTATGGGTACGGACCAATTGTTTTGGCATAAGAAAATAATGTTAAGTCAAGTATGTAGAAATTGTGCTCTTGTGTGGGAGTGATTTTTTGAAAAGTGTTTTTTTTGTTGGATGTTTGATTAAAAAGTAGGGAAAAGTTGTGCGGAAATGTGAGAAATGATATTTTTTTTTTGAGAATGTGTGATTGAAAATGAGTGTGGGGAAACATGATTTTCAAATAATCACTTTCAAGCACACATATAAGAAAACGATCATTTTTCGAAATATTCAACACAGTGTGGTTTAAAATTGCCATATGCACTCAAGAATTCAGTGACAGTGGCACTGGTTATGGGATTAGGCTTTTTTTTTTTGTTTTTTTTTGGGGGGGGGGGGGAATAGGCTTATGGGCTCGATAGGAAAGCATTAACCAGAAGAATTAACCACTCGGGTGTAGTACGAAACTTGTTGAAATATTATGTTAATTGATGAAGAACACAATAGGGCAAAGTAGAAATTCGGAGGGAGAAGAGAAGAAGAGGGATGAAGAGTGGTTCTTGGCTATGCTTACTAAGTGAAGTTAGCCTTTGTTTGGCTTATGTTTATAAATACTCAAGTTACTTTTTAATCATCCATTTTGAGGGACCCACAAGTATTACTCACTTATGCACTCATTTCTATCTATTTATAATTAGACATTTTATAAACAACCCCCAAACATGCTTGCGTACCTTTTTGTCTCCAATCATTTTCTTGCTTTTAAGTAAAAGAAGTTGCGTTTTTTTCGTCATGAACTCTTATAATTTTGGTTTTCATTTCATCTTTTATAGTATCCTAACTGGAGACATGTTAAATTTGCAGACAATATCTCAAGCTCTAGCCACAGCTCGTGAACACTTGACAAGATCACTTCTCAGTTGAGGCGTCTCTTCTAGTGTAGTAAATGAGCAGCACCTTTGTTCTTCAATTCTATGCTTCGCTTAAGTCGTTTGAGTAGTTCTATGTCCTTTTATCTTTTCGAGGATCTTCTTGTTTGCTCTATTTTTTTTTAATTCAATTTATAATTCAAAATATTTGTCCACACGGTGTATTGGTTAACAATGCAAGATAGATCTCCTCAGGGTTTTGGACAAATTTTATGTTTTGCTCTGTCTGCAACTTGTTTCTGAGTTTTAGTTGAGCAATGTCTGGTTGTGCTTCAAAGTTACTTTGAAGATGATGTTTGACGAAAATAAGCAAAGGGCTCGAGTTTCTTGAGGAAGACACCTTGGGTTAGAGCTTCATGGCCAATCAAAGTATTTATAGAAAATTATTCAAATATATTCAAAAACAGCTTTTGACTTTTTGAAGTCTTTCCAAACGGATCCTTATTTTTAAGCAGTTTGACATGCTCAAATATAGAAGTTGTAGACTGTATATGATCAAAATGAGATATATTAATTTTCAACCATGCATTCTTTGAACGTGAAACTCATAAGTAAATTAATTAAATACGACCATAAGAAGAAGTGCGTAGGTTGAATTGAATATTCGCCTCCATGCATGTGCATTACCTCATGTAGTTAGTTGTGTTTACACGCAAAGAAATTCTGGCATGAGGCGATAAGAGGGATAGGTTGACCTACGGCATGACTTGATCCTGCCATTTACCTGCCCTAACCGTCTAATTATGGACAGTTTGACGCAAATTGATACTTTTAATATGAATTAAGGGGGGTGAGATATGCCCCGCAATAAACAAAGGAAACTTCCTCAATTAAAATTGTGATGAATTTTAAAAATTCTTCTAAATTTAGGCATCTTCGATTGAGATTTTAATGGATTTTAACGAAATTCATTAAAATTTAGTTGTTCCCAATTGAAATTTTAATGAAATCCTTCAAAATTTAGGTATCCTCGATAACTTGTAGATTTATAAAGATTTTATTAATTGATGGATTTTAAAAGATTTGGATGGATTTCAAGCTTTAAAATACATGTAACCAAATATTTTGAAATTTCCCCTTATATAATAAAATTCTTATGAAATTTGACGAAATTCATCAGAATTTATAATCTTTTAAAATCCATCAAAATCTTAGTTGAGGACACCTCGTAAATAAGATATAACTCGAAAAAATTAATTTTCCTTTGATTGAAGAATACCATAATGGTATCTAATCTGTAAACATATGATTAGTTGAGGTAATATAAAAACTGTCGGCCAAGATTCTTTCAGTATTATCTTAATAGTTTATTTATTTATTTGAATATCCTATTTAGTCTGGCGAGTAATCATATTCTTCTAAGTAGTGAACATATATTTTTGTTGCAGGCCGGTTGGGTTTTATTTCATTTAATTTTTCCATTGTTTTTTTTTTCTCCTTTTTGTCCTATTGGAGGACAGTGGAGCCCACCCCTTGAATCTCCCCCCACATGAGGGACCCACCTCAATAAAAATAAAAAAATAAAATTACCCGCCCGCCTGCCTGCCTATATTTTGTGAAGGTTCTATGAACGCCATCTGTACATAAAGCATGATACGCATTGTAAATTCCTTTAAAAACAAATCTAAATAAATATTTATTATTCCAATACCTCCACTTCTTAGATTCCATCGGCACTCTTTTGTATTTAGGCGAATAGTCTTAGGAGGAATCAATAAAAAATTAAAAATTAAAAACGGAGATGCCTAATCCGCTCTTAACTCTTGCTCATACTATGGGTAAAGTCATCTGATCGAGTTCGAACGATAGAACTTTATTGAATTAATCTCATCATAATAATATTTACATTATTCGGTCTTGTCGTTTGTATCAAATACATTTTAATCTCATTGCTTATCTCGTACATAAAGAAAATTCTTGCTAACAAAGGTTGGGATCGGTGAACTTTATATATTTTGGAATTTCTTTAATTAATGTGTGTATTTATGGGGTGATTAGATTTTTTCTTTATAAGGGCGTTTTAGTATTTTGTTCGAAAGAGGTAAGAATCCGTATGCAAGCCGGCCAAGCATTGTCCACGATTACATGACCTAGTCCAAGTCAATGACGCGTCGGCTACCATATTTTTCAGAGCAAAAGGACAAGTACTATAAAAGGGAATATCAACTAAATTTATTCTTTGGTTAGCTGTTTCAACTCAAATTTTGGGGGTTGGACTTGGAGGCCTACTCTTGTGTGGACAAAATACTAATATCATACATTTTGCATATTTTGATACAAATTTGAAACTTTTCTCTCGTTTTCGTAAATTTTTGTACGAATTCATACATTTTCATACGATTTGTAATGTTTCTTACATAGAAAGAGACAAATTCATTATATTTAGACTGACGTTGATAACAGTTAAGTTCGTGTTTAGTATGTGAAATGAATAATATTAAATCGTATTAAGATGGCCTTGTATGGGAGGGATTAAAATCGGATTAAAATTGAAAATATAGCCGTTATTGTTGACTTTATTAGACGAGTGGGACCCAATAACGACCATATTTTCAATTTTAATTGACTTTTAATCCCTCCCGAACGGGGCTAAAATAAAATTAAAATTTTGTGTACTTGTCCAAATATTTATTGTGCAAATTGAACCTTTAAAGAACAGTTTGATTATGGTAAATAAACTTCGAGATAAATAAATGTTTTGTTAAAATGATAGAATAGCGAAACGTTTAACAAGTAAGAAAGAGTCGATGGTGGCAGGGTGCAATGTTAACATTAATAATATGACTCTTACTAGGACCACGGTGAAGAGGATATCATTAACTCGAAATTAGTAGTTTATAGTTAGAGGAATCTGATATTTTTATTTAATACATTAACGAGTAAATCACTGATACAGATTTTTCTTGACATAAAATTTCGTAATTGCTCTATTTTTGAATATCAAGTGACAAGAAATCAACTTTTTTTTTTTTTTACTTTCACATATGAATGATCAAATATTTTTGATATTATAATATTTTTAATTTATTTACTTAGCAAAAAGTAAATGAATAAAAATAAAATGAAAAAGAGACCCAAAAAAATAGTCCTTTAAACTATCCCAACGACCATGACTTGATGTGGGACCACCGTCTCTGAATCATCCAATCATCATCGTTGTTTTGGTAATCATCCACTCTTCCTATAGAATTACATTACTACCCTTTTATTCTTTTCTTCCCCCTTTTTTGCTATGTTATTTTTTTACAAAATAGTGGAAAATTTATTAACCACACTAGAAAATGGGAAGAATAACTTGGAACTATCCCCTTTTTTTGCTATGTTATTTTTTTACAAAATAGTGGAAAATTTCTTAACCATACTCTAAAATGGGACGAATAACTTGGAACTTTTTAATATAAGAAAATAAATTCACATAATCGACTCTAACTTTTTAAACCTAGTCGACCCATGGGACGTTGGGGTAAGATTGCGGACGCCATCATAAATTGAACCAGGTCGAATTTAGCTGTCGATGAACAAAGTTGGAACATCGTTATTTTCACATTTAAATTTATTTTGAAAAGAAAAAAAAAAGTAATTTTATTTAAAGAAGAACTCTAGAAAGAGAGAGGGACCGTGAAAAACTGGTATTGGGTCGGACTTCGAATGGAGAGAGGGCTCCTTTTTGTGCCTGCATAAAATCTCCCCCTCTCTCTCTCCCTCTGACCCATCAACTTTCTCTCTCTATATTTTTCTTTCTCTAACCTGCATTGCGACTATTCCCAGCAGGGTTTCATCAATCTCGTTGATTTTCCATCTGGACAATTTTAAATTCCCACGTTATGAAGGTTATTTAAACCACCTGATTTACAGGTAAAAGATAATTTGTTCCTCTGTACATGTATAATTTTTTTGTGTTTTTGCATTATTTGGTGTGTTTTTTGAGATTATATATAATTCCTGGGTAAATATTGTGAGTAGGGATGTAATAGTGTACGCATATGTTTTGTGTTATTTTGAGTTGGAACTTGTTTAGAATTAAAACAGTTTGAGCTGGATATATAATGTAGTATCTTTATTCTTCTTTTTATCAAAACTGTGATTTGTGTATTTGGCAGCAAAATGATGTGTTGTGGGTTGGATAAAGCTATGAAGTTTTTAATCAATTTTTTGCACTTTTTTTCCTTTACTTTTTTTTGAAGTTAAATCTCTCTCTCTCTCTCTCTCTCTTTTTAATATATATATATATATATATATAGTTCAATCTTTGGAAGTTGAAAAAATAAATAAACACGCCTCTCTAACTGCTTGCTTAAGTTTTTAGAAGGTCCTTGTCCACCATATCTTCCAAGTATCGTGCGAATTGTTGTAATAGTTCCTTACCATTCTTAAAATGGAGATCTAAAAACCTGAGGAAAGGCTGTACAGCAGTAGTTGGGGTGTTATCACTGGAGCTATTTGTCTGCTAGCAATAGGGCTAGTGAAGGAATCCCTTGTTCAACAATGGAGGTACTTTCACCTGTGTTTAGGTTCCTAGACTAAAATTTCGTGGTTATTTATGTGCTTTACATGGCTTTTATTTAGTTGATGGCAGTACAAATCTTGAAATTTAGAAGCTAGTAATTGTTAGATATACATGCGGAAAAAAAATTTGGATGCTTATGTAATGGTTCTTTCAAGAGATAGACATTTATTTTACAAATTTGGGTCCAATCACAATGGATAAACATTGAAATTTGTTTTCCTTTTTGATTTCCATTATTCTCAGGTGGTGCTTTGCTGCAATCTTTTAAGCCCAGTGTCTTGAGGGTCTGCAATTTTCTATCGAGCTTGTCAGATGATTCATAAGCACTTCACTTGCATTATGAGGAAAGTGGTATGGGTTTCTTTTTGATATTTTTATAGGGTGGTATATATTCTTAAATCTGAAAACTGTGAAAAAATGCCACGGGGAAGGATAAGGGCGAAGCTCCGTAGGAGCAGTCTGTACACATTTGGCTGCTATAGACCACACCCTTCCGATACAGAGGGGCCACATCAAATCCAAGGTCCAGGTTACTCACGAATGGTTTATTGCAACAAACCACATCTTCACGAGACAAAACCATTTAGATACTGCTCAAATTATATATCGACCACAAAGTATAATATTATTACATTTCTGCCCAAGGCCATTTTTGAGCAATTTCGACGTGTGGCAAACTTGTACTTTCTTCTCGCTGCAACCCTGTCGTTCTCTCCTGTATCACCATTTTCAGCTTACAGTATGGTTGCTCCTTTAGTATTTGTAGTTGGATTGAGTATGGCTAAAGAAGCTCTCGAAGATTGGCGTAGGTTCATGCAAGACATGAAGGTTAATTTGCGGAAAGCTAGTATACATAAAAGAGATGGCATATTTGGTCATAGGCCATGGATGAAGATCCGGGTGGGAGATATAGTGAAAGTAGAGAAAGATCATTTTTTTCCGGCAGATTTACTTCTTTTATCTTCTAGTTATGAAGATGGAATTTGTTATGTTGAAACTATGAACTTGGATGGAGAGACAAACTTGAAGGTAAAACGAGCACTCGAGGTAACCTTATTCATGAATGATGATGCGACTTTTAAGGAATTCAGTGCAAACATACAGTGTGAGGATCCGAATCCTAACCTTTACACTTTTGTTGGTAATCTTGAATATAATCGCCAGCTGTATCCTCTTGATCCTTGTCAGATTCTCCTTAGAGATTCAAAGCTTAGGAACACGTCTTATGTGTATGGAGTGGTGATATTCACAGGTCATGATAGCAAAGTCATGCAAAATGCTACAAAATCTCCTTCAAAAAGGAGCAGAATCGAGAAGCAAATGGACAAAATCATTTACTTCCTTTTCACCGTCCTTGTATTCATCTCATTAATCAGCTCAATAGGTTTTGGGGTGAAGACGAAGAATGAAATGCCACATTGGTGGTATTTACAGGCCCCAGATGATAGGGATTTATATGATCCAGGCAGGCCGGTGGTCTCAGCCATTTTTCATCTGGTCACTGCTCTAATATTATATGGATATTTGATACCCATATCACTCTATGTTTCAATTGAGGTCGTCAAAGTCCTCCAAGCATTGTTCATAAACCAAGACATTCGGATGTACGATGAAGAGACCGGAACTCCTGCTGAGGCACGGACATCAAACTTGAACGAGGAATTAGGACAGGTCGATACGATCCTGTCTGATAAAACTGGAACTTTAACATGCAATCAGATGGACTTTCTCAAATGCTCCATTGCTGGTAAAGCATATGGCACAATCTCTTGTGACGTAGAACTTGCAGCTGCAAAACAGATGGCAATGGACTTGAATGGGCAGAACAAGAATGGTACACCTAATTCATTGGAGAAAGGTGGAAATGAATTTGGGGAATCTGAAATTGAGTTAGAGACTGTCTTTACTTCAAAATATGAAAATGGTCACAAACCTGCAATAAAGGGGTTTAGCTTTGAGGATGGCTGCCTCATGAATGGGAATTGGCTCAAAGAACCAAATGAAGATGTCATCTTACTTTTTTTCAGGATACTATCACTTTGTCACACTGCAATTCCCGAGCTAAATGAAGAGACTGGTAACTTCACCTATGAAGCTGAATCTCCAGATGAAAGTGCATTTGTAGTTGCAGCTAGAGAATTTGGCTTTGAGTTCTCTAAAAGAACCCAGTCAAGCATATTTGTTCGTGAAAGATATCCTTCGTTTCAGAATCCTATTGAAAGGTGAAAATATGAACAAATTATTTGCATGATTGAAAAAAAATCTGTTTTGGATCACACATCTTGATGTCTCATGACTTTTTTGTAACGTCAGGGAGTTCAAAATTCTCAATTTGTTGGATTTCACTAGCAAAAGGAAGAGAATGTCTGTTATTGTGCGGGATGAAGATGGTCAGATTTTTCTCCTGTGCAAAGGAGCAGACAGGTGTGCCTTTTGGCATCCGCGTTTACTACTTGATAAGTAAATATTGCTACAAGAAAAAGGATTTTAATGCGATCTCTTTCCTTTACAGCATCATCTTTGATAGGTTATCAAGGAACGGGCGAATGTATGAAGAAGCTACCACGAAGCATTTGAATGAGTATGGAGAAGTTGGATTACGAACACTCGCACTTGCTTACAAGAAGCTTGATGAGGCCGAATATTCTGCCTGGAATGAAGAGTTCAGTAACGCTAAAACATCAATTGGTGGGGACAGGGAAGAAAAGCTTGAGCGGCTTGCTGATATTATGGAAAGGGACTTAATACTTGTTGGAGCAACTGCAGTCGAGGACAAATTACAGAAAGGGGTATATCATATGTTGTATCACTGTTTCGTAGTGAACATGTTTGCCTAAGCTTAAAAAAAGTTAGTTTTAAGTAATTTTTCAGCTCCAAATATGTGACGTTTGGATTACTTGCTTCTTTTGCTTTTAAAATAAACAAAGCTGTAACTCTTAACTAACTTATTTTCAACTTTCACCAACAGAATAAATTAGTTGTTCTAGAAATTACTTATTTTCTTATAAGTGAACTTTTAAGCTGGCGAAACATGTTCCCTCCCTTTGTAACTTGACCTTTTTATTGCTTCTCTGCAGGTGCCTCAGTGCATAGATAAACTGGCACAAGCTGGTCTAAAGATCTGGGTCCTGACTGGTGATAAAATGGAAACTGCAATTAATATTGGGTATGTCTATTGCCAATAGAATCTGGCCTTTAAATATTTTGGGATAATATCAAAAGAGGGCCTGACCTTTTCGTAATGGAACACGTTGGTCCCCAGCTGTTTTTGTGGGAAGTCACCAACAACCTTCTGCGTTTGTAACAAGTGGGTTCCGAATGGATGGTTTCTATCCACTTGAAGGGGGGATGGTGGAGGTGTGGTTTACTTTTCCGGTTTTTCCTTTCCTTTCCTCTTCTCTTCTCTTCTCTTCTCTTATTTATTTATTCTTTTCATGGAAATTAAGTGTCTACCTCACCATTCTACAAATCATCTGAAAGTGACGCGAAAGGTTGGGGAAGACTTTCTGGAAAAAAAAAAGTTGGGGGCCAACTTGTTACATAGTGAAATGGTTGAGGACCTCCAGTGCTATTTTCCAAAATATTTTATGGTAATCACAGTGGCTTGATAAACAAAGCTTTCTAGTTGCTAATTGAAATTTTGTCTTTAATATGCAGGTATGCTTGCAGTTTGCTTCGACAAGGCATGAAGCAAATTTGTATAACAACAGCAAATCTTGACTCATTAGACGTAAAGGAAAATATTTTGATGCAAATCACCAATGCATTGCAAATGGTGAAGCTGGAAAAGGATCCCCATGCTGCATTTGCTTTGATTATTGATGGGAAAACTCTAACTTTTGTGTTGGAGGATGATATGAAGCATCGATTTTTGAATTTAGCCGTTGATTGTGCTTCTGTCATATGCTGTCGCGTTTCTCCTAAGCAGAAGGCTCTCGTGAGATTCCTTTCATATTACCCTTTAGCATTTCATAGCTGAGCAGTGAACACATTTTGCTTTGCTTATAAAAAGTAAAAGTACTTTTCGGAAGTAAGTTTAGACTTCAGAAAAGTAAGTTTTGAACTAAAATCTCAAAAAAGAAAAAAAGAAAAAAAAAATGCTAAAAAAGCTCAAACATGTTCGCAAAAAAGTTATTCTAAGCTTAACCAAAGAGGATTTATTTCTCAATTTTTTTTCATATAAATTTGAGTTCTCATTTTTCTTTTCTTTTTCTTTTTTTTTTTTTTGTGTGTGCGCTTGTGTTAATTGGCAACTAGGTAACAAGATTAGTAAAAGAAGGAACTGGAAAAACCACATTGGCAATCGGTGATGGTGCAAATGATGTTGGTATGATTCAAGAAGCAGACATTGGTGTTGGCATCAGTGGATGTGAAGGAATGCAGGTTGGTAATGTATCTCACTGGCTCGTATTTGCAGCACATGTTTGTTCCTTTGCTACATATTCATGCCATGAGGATTTTAAAAATGATCTCTGGAGAAAGTATTACAGGACATTTAAGGAAATTAGCCTGGCAGATTACAGAATTAACAAGAAACAAATTCCATTCTAATAAATAAAAAATTCTATGTTTGTACGATACAGAAATAAGATAAATATGCTCAAATTTTGTCATTTTTAACTAGTTGATTGGCCATAATTATCTGAATTCATCTTTGAATCCACTAAGCATTATCTGCTTCTTGTTTCCCAGACCATTATTAATAAATTCTTCCACTTGATTATTAAGACTGAAACCACATTTTATGGAATCTCACTTCACAATAAAGAACATTTATTGTTACTATAACACGTGCCATAAGATTTAGTTCCCTGAATAGGTTCATACTCACTTAAAAGTAGTGAATAACTAAGTTTTGCTCATGATGTTGATTTAATGTGTGTTCAAAAATTAATCTGGTTTAATAATGTGTTGAATATTTTAAGCTTTACGTTTATGGATTTCTTTTATTTATAGCATATAAAGCAAGCACGCTTATCAAGTTCTTTTCTCGAGTTATTAACCATTTCAAGAACTTCACCACGTGATGAGGATGCCAAATTATGGCATAATGTAGCCCCTGTTTGACAACCGTTTTTACAAAACTCTTTTTTCTCATACTCATTTTCAACTACACATTCTTAATATTCTGCACGTAAATCCAAAAAAATTTCCTACATTTTAACCACATATTCTCCAAAAAATCACTATTCTAAAACTCGTTTTCTCAAAAAATTATCTTTAATGATTGTCAAATAGGGGCATAGTATCAAAATTAGTAATACTCTGTCATTTTAGAGAAATCATTCAGCCTCGTACTTGAGTTCAAACCCACATTTGAGGAATTTGAACAATTCCTATTCACTGACGGTCCATTCATTATAAAATATGAAGGAAAGGTGAAGGATTATTTCTCTGGGATGTGAATGTGGAATGCATGTGCCTGTTCTGATATGTATTGAAAATCTCGATGCACGAGCTGAACTCTGCCATTCTGTTTTTTCTAAATAATCTGATTGAACAACTTTTTAACATAAAAATAAATAATTATCGTGTCTAGAAAAAGTTATACATGTACTTTTCACTAGCATTGCTCTCAAATGATGCAAGCAGACCAACATAATTATCAGCTGTTTGCAGGCTGTGATGGCTAGCGACTTTTCTATTGCACAGTTCCGGTTTCTGGAGAGGCTTTTAGTCGTACATGGACATTGGTGCTACAAAAGAATTGCTCAGATGGTAATATAAACTCAACTTAATATAATCGCTCCTATGTTTTCTCTTGGAGTGAACAATAATGTTTGGCTAAGGTTAAAAACTCAAGTAAATTTAAAATAAGAAATCTTTTTTATTGATCAATATTGGAAATAAGTATGTTACTTGTTTTGACACTAAAGTAATAGTTACTTTCAATATAAGTAACATTTTTTACTCCCTTCGAACTAGTTTCTTCCATTCTCCATTTATTCTCACACAAATTGCAATTCTCTGCTTCAGATTTGTTATTTCTTCTACAAAAATATTGCATTTGGCCTCACAATCTTCTACTTTGAGGCATTCACGGGCTTTTCTGGACAGTCAGTTTATGTTGACTGGTATATGCTGCTATTCAACGTCGTTCTTACTTCATTGCCTGTCATTTCACTTGGAGTTTTCGAACAGGATGTTGATTCCGAGATCTGCCTGCAGGTTAGTCGTCTATAAGTTACTAAATTTATAGTGAAGTTCAATGTTAGTCGCTGAACTTTTATTTTTTATGGAATGGTTCTTAACCATTTTATTGCTACCACGTGGCCCACTATAATTCCTTGTACTGACAGAATCTAATGCCTCATGCAGTTTCCAGCATTGTATCAGCAAGGACCGAAAAACTTGTTCTTCAACTGGTGCAGGATATTCGGGTGGATGTCTAATGGTCTGTATACCTCCCTCGTCATTTTCTTCCTCAACATCATAATCTTTTACGACCAAGCATTCCGAGCGGGAGGGCAGACGGCCGATATGACGGCTGTCGGTACAGTTATGTTCACGTGCATTATTTGGGCCGTCAATTGCCAAATTGCTCTGTTAATGAGTCACTTCACATGGATACAACACTTCCTAGTTTGGGGTAGTATAGCAACTTGGTATGTATTTCTTTTCGTCTACGGCAGCATATCCCCAAGTTTCTCAGAATACGCATTTAAAATGCTCGTTGAAGTTCTCGCTCCAGCCCCGATTTACTGGATCACAACCCTTTTAGTAACAGTGGCTTGTATTCTCCCGTACCTTGCCCACATTTCTTTCCGAAGATCTTTCAATCCAATGGATCATCACATCATTCGAGAAATCAAGTACTACAAGAAAGATGTCAAGGATCAAAACATGTGGAGTCAGGAGCGGTCAAAAGCACGAGAAAAGACGAAGATCGGGTTCACGGTGAGAGTAGATGCAAAAATCAGGCAGTTGAAAGGGAGACTAACGAAGAAGTATTTATCATTGGCTACACATAATGTAATACCACAAACAGAAACAAAGGATTAATGAGTATATTTCCTTCTTTTTGTTTTGTTAATAATATTCTATTCATTCTTGGTATATAGTGGGTTAATTAAGGCATCAAAGCACATTAGGCATTTTTATGTACAATTTCTATGTAAAGATCATTGCAGCTTCTGAAATAGTAGATGCATTTTTTGCCTCGTTCCTCATGCGCGTAGCGTGGTTGTAATAACCAATGCTTAAAACTTGGTAGTTGGCAAAAGGCGAGGGTCAACCTGTTCGATCAAAGTTGAACTGACGTCAATCTAAAAGTAAAAAATAATTATACAAAATGACGAATATTGCATATTTTCGATTATGTTTTGTGGTGAGGTATATAGTAAAAGTCATAATGAAGAAAATAAGTTAAAATTTTATCAATATGTTGTCAATCTTGTCCGCATATGCTATAATGCTAGTTTCAATATACCGAAGAATTGATTATTACATTAAACATCACTCTTTGACAACGAACGATATTTTTGCAATAACTTAGGATTCAAGATAGTGTTTTTTATTGATTACGTGAAAAGGTCAGGCTCAAAAATCTTTACTTCTATAATCAAGATGGAAAGTAGATAAAAAAAAAAAAAAATTAATTTTTCAAAATAAAGTTTATGGACTAGATAATAAGACTATAAATTTCTTCTTAGAAAACGAATTTATATGAATAATTTATACTTATATATATATAGCGATCTAGAGAGAGAGAGAACGTGATAAACAGTCATATTTTGTGTATAGACGCACTTTTTAAATACTGCTTCGATACATGATAAAACAAAATAACCTTTTATCATCTTCTAAACAAATAAAACCTACTTATTCATATAAAAAAATGTCTATGTACAATTATTTCATGCTTTACCAGACGCAATGATCTTTATGTGATCTTTAAAAGAGTTGGGTGGGTAAAAGTCAAGAAGATTATTTTAAACCTCGCTCTATGTACAGAAAATGTGTACATACACTTTGACAGAATATCACTTCATTGGATTTCCCACATTAAAAAAATGATTATTCTTGTTGTACATAATATCTTACCTAATGTGTGTCATAATTGACAAATGACGACCCCTTATTGGGAGCGTCTGGGGGCCAAGATACACCCAATAGGGGGAGCCATTTGTCAATTATGGCACATATTAGGTAAATGATTATATACTTGTAGCATAACCTTAAAAAAAAAGGTTTTTTGACAGTCAATTATGTGCTGTCAACACTGCATCTATATTGCAAGTGGGCAATATTTTCTACGTGAGTAGATAAATCCTCGAGGTCTTACATGTACTATGATTCAAAAGGTAACACGTGCAAGTAATGTACTTGTTCGACGATCAAATGTACAATTTCCAATCAACTAAGGACTAACTAGCTATGACACGTTAGTCAGAGACTACGGTGGCCAATAATTTAACCTCGAGGCCAACATGATATAAACCCTTGTAATTTTCTTAAAATAGGAAAAGGGGGTTGGTATACGACGTCGTAGCATCCAAAGATTCGAAACCACGTCGTATTTCGCTACTTACAAACCATATATATACACGTGTCTATATAGTTGTGTGGCAAAAAGTCTTGCGGGGGCGTCGATTGGATCAAAGGGAGCGCTGAGCCGTGGAGAGGGCCACAGATGCTTTGATGCATTCAATTATTCATTATGTTTCTCTCTCTAAATCTACAAATTTCAGCTTGATTTAATTTCTTTTGTTTGGAAAAAGAACAAATAAGGGAACGCCACTTAAAATCTAGGTAATTCTTTATTGTTAAATTGGATGGAACCGCGTGTGGGGAATAAATTCCAGCTCGGCCGGAAAATTGGCAGCGGCTCGTTCGGAGAGATCTATCTAGGTCTGTTTCTTTTTTCCTTTTTGTGATTTATGGTTTTGATTATTGGGTTTGTTCGATATGATTGGCGTAATATTTTTAATTTGTCTTGTATTTGGCAGGTACTAATATACAGACAAATGAACAGGTTGCTATTAAGCTGGTGAGCGAATTGAATATTCTAATTGAAAAAAATAGGTTTTTGTGAATTTTTTTCCTTTGAACTATTTACTACTTGTGCATTTCTTTGAATGCGACTTACTGTAGAGAATAATTAAGAAATTAAGGGTGATCGACACTCATTTGGATTATGTTTCTGTAGTTGTGTAATGGTGTCAGTGATTTAGAAATGTCCCTTGATGGCTTTGATAGTGGTGTTTATTGTTTATACTAGCTAATAAATAGGTTATATATCAAGAGAGGGAGACTAGAAATATATTTGTAAAAGGAACCCGTTGAAGTCCCATTCCTGTCACGTTTTTGTACGGTAGACTGGATGCAATTTCATATCATGCAATTGAAGGTTCTTTTCCATAGATATGGTTTACATATCAAGATTTTGCTGTTCGTGTATTATATATGTTATGGACACTTAGGCTGCGTCATCTTAGTTTAGGTACTTGAGCGGGCTGTGGAGGCAGAAAGCTGTTCTTGTAAGCTTTTGAAGTTCTGTTTGGGTAATAATATACGTGCTGATTAAATTCTCATATTGTTGTGTAACTACATTGCTAAAGCACAGTTCGATACCAAATATGGGTTTGTTTGGAGTTGAGATTGTCTGGTGCGACAAGCTGTAAAGGAAGTTGAGTGTGTTTGAAAGAAATAGAATTGTGTTCTGTTTATTCTTGTCGTTTACTCATATATATATATATATGTGTGTGTGTGATTAGGTGTCATTTGAATGCCTCCAATAAGGAAAGTGGAGAAAAGTTAGTTATTTTAGACATTTTTTTGTTGGTTAGCAGGAAGTTTATTTCCTTTTCCTTCGCCACTTTTCTGTGAAGCATTTCTCCACGTATATCTCCTGCAATTGACATGGAGCTTTAGTGCATTAATTGTAGTTATTTATGTATTCTTGAGTGCCTTTAGACAATACTATATTGTTGAGTTAAAATTGGAAAGAATGATGGTAATCGGGGAGTTTGATAACTATAAAGTTTTTCCCATGAGTTGTGTTGACCTTTGTGTCTTACAAAATGTGGAATTCGGTCTCAGAAGCATTTGAAATGACTTATACTTGTCAGTGTGATGTTCATTAAGTTTCATTATTACAATTAGCCCGTCTATAACGTGAAAAGGGTACTGATTTATGAAAGACATTTGACTCCAAGATGCTGAACTCTTTACAGGCTCTTTATGTTTGTTTGTGTGTGTGTGTGTATTTGTTTGGGCGGGGATTTGCTTATCAACTACTATTTTGCTTTTAACTGTCACCAATTGCTCTTGCTGTTTACATTCAGGAAAATGTCAAGACAAAGCATCCCCAGCTACTTTATGAGTCTAAGTTGTACAAATTGCTACAAGGAGGAAGTAACGATCTGTTTCATTTCCTCCAATTCCTTCTCATGTTTTTCATTTTACTATTTAATGGTTATCACTTTGATGTCCTTATCAGTCATCTATTTTTTTTTTCCATTTTGGTAGCTGGAATTCCAAATGTTAGATGGTTTGGAGTTGAGGGAGACTATAATGTCCTTGTGATGGATTTATTGGGACCTAGTCTTGAAGATTTGTTCAACTTCTGCAGTCGGAAACTGTCTCTAAAGACCGTTCTCATGCTTGCAGATCAGATGGTAGTATAGTTTGTTTGCTTGTCACTGGTTAGGAATTAAAGAAGTTTACTCTTCAATTTCTTCTCCTGACATTGATTTCTTTCATTCTCAGATTAACCGGGTTGAGTTTGTTCATTCTAAATCTTTCCTGCATCGGGATATTAAGCCTGATAACTTTCTTATGGGCTTAGGAAGGCGTGCAAACCAGGTTTGATTTAAGTTTTCCTCCTATCTTAGTGTTATTTATTTGCCATAACTCTATCAATTATGTACAGGTATATATTATTGATTTCGGACTTGCAAAGAAGTATAGAGACTCCTCAACTCATCAACACATTCCATATAGGCAAGTTCTCTAGAATTTTTATGGTTTATTGCTCGTAATTCAAGAAATAAGAAAGGACATCAAACATAGTTAGATGCTCGTGAGCTACCTTCCCTAATATACTGTTCTCTCTTCCTGAAGTGTAATACAGAAAGGAGATACTTGCCTTTTGTTTTTGCCACCTGGGTGTTCTGTGTGCATTATCTCGTATTCAGTAAATTTTTATCTTGCAGGATTCTCTTGATTTATATACTTGATTAAGTTTGCTCAGCAAAATTATACTTTTAAATGCAGAGAAAATAAAAACTTGACTGGTACGGCTAGATATGCTAGCATGAATACTCACCTCGGTATTGGTAAGCTTGCAAGTTATATCAATTTGCTTTCTATTCTGACATTCTATGACTGCTATCTAGTTAAGCATTGATTTTATTTTTGGTTCTATTGTCTGGCCTTCACAGAACAAAGTCGGAGGGATGATTTAGAATCACTTGGATATGTTCTTATGTACTTCTTGAGAGGAAGGTATCTATCTCTATCAAACCCCACCCCCACCACGTTTAAGTG